TTTTTTTTTTCAACATTTATTTATTTTTGAGACAGAGAGAGACAAAGCATGAACAGGGGAGGGTCAGAGAGAGAGGGAGACACAGAATCCGAAACAGGCTCCAGGCTCTGAGCTGTCAGCCCAGAGCCCGACGCGGGGCTCGAACTCACGGAGCGCGAGATCGTGACCTGGCTGAAGTCGGACGCTTAACCGACTGCGCCACCCAGGCGCCCTAAATGTGCTATTCAGTGACAAGTAGATAATTCACGCCCCTTTCAAAACGCAAGACCTGGGCCGCTGGGGTGGCTCAGTCATTCGAGCCTGTGACCTCAGCTTGGGTCACGATTTCACAGTTCGTGGGTTCGAGCCCCGCGTCTGGCTCACTGCTGTTGGTGCAGAGGCCACTTCGGATCCTCGGTGCCCCTCTCCAGCTCACGCTGTCTCTCAAAAATGAATAAATGTTTATTAAAACAAAATAGAAGACCTTACCATACTCCGGAAAGTTATACACCTAGGCTGTTTTGCAGTATGTTTCCACGAAAACCATTCCCAGATACCCCCTTGGCTTCAACAAAGACCGGATTCTTCTTTTCCAAAGTCGGCTGTGCTCTGCACAGATTCAACCTGGGCAGTGGGGGAGGGGAGCCGGCCCTCGGACTAGTAGGAGCCACAGTTGATTGGCACCCCTGTGTGGGAGAGCCCTGTGCTAACGGCTCACGCCTTCATTTGACCCGCCCGAGGACACCACGGTTGTCAATAGTCCCATTTTATTGGTGAGGAAACTGAGGCTCAGATCCATCATCTCCCCCAGGTCACCCAGCAAGTCGCTGGAGGAATTGGAATTTCAGTTCAGGACTTCAGACTTTTCCCTCGAGGGGCCGTTACGAGGCATCGGTGTGGCTCATAGATCTCAGTAATGGCCGGTCTGGCAGAACAGGAAAGACCATGTGGAACCTTGGGAGGAATTCTGGGAAGGACGGGATGGAGGGCGGTATCAGATGCTGAGCAGGGGGCGGTCACCGGTGCCTCGGGCGGGACAGGCTCCCTGCAGCAGCGGGTTGGAACCCGGAATGGCGCTGCTGGGAACAGTAGGAGGGAGTGGATTAGAGAGTGTGGACAAGTCTGCCGGCAGTGGGGTGGAAACGGGGTGAGGACAGGGAGTGGCTCCTCGAAACAGAAGTGTTTAATCCTGGAGTGATCTGGGGGCACCTGGGTGGCTCAGTCGGTTGGGTGTCTGATTCTTGATTTGGGCTCCGGTCATGACTTCGTGGTCATGGGATGGAGGCCCACATTGGGCTTAGTCCTGGGTGAGGAGCCTCCTTGGGATTTTCTCTCTCTCTCTCTCTCTCTCTCTGCCCCTCCCCGGGAGTGGGAGGGAAGGAAGAGAGGGTAGGAGTAGGATGTGGAGCAGTGTGGTGAGCTCGGGCAGGGGAGAGGGGGTTGTCCACAACCCGAACTGAGGATTGAGGTCGTTGGCCCAGAGTGCAGAGGCAGGGCTGGAGCCCCAACTCTAGGATTCTTTCCTCTCCCCTTCCACTGCAGAGTCCCCTGTGCTGGCCTTCCCTCAGCTTCCCTTACATCCGTAGGGGCCAAAAGAAACCATCGCGGTGCCCTCTCAGCTCCGGGGCGGGCTGCAGTGGGAGGTGTTGAGGCTCTGACAACAGGAGCATTGGGAGGACTCTGGAAAGCCAGAGAATCAGAATGGTACCCACCTGCCCCAACCCATGTACAGATGAGGAAGCTGAAGGCTAAAAAAAAACCAACTACCCCGTCCGAGCACTTTAGCGCGTTAACATATTGCATGTATCATGTCAGCCCGTACAAGATGCCTGCAAAGTAAATATTGTTCTCCTCCATCCTCCTACCTGCCCATCTACGTGTCTGTCCATCCATCCGTTTTTAAGACACTGGTATCGTCCCTACTCTATGCCACATGATACGGAAAGTGCTGGGGAGGCAGCAGAAAGCAATGTAGGCAGGGCCTCCAACTGAACAAATAGTGGTTCGAGTAACAGTTGAGATGAGCCACATGGGGGAGACGGACAGTGTTCGAGAATGATGGCCCAGGGAGCAGGGAAGGCAGGCGGGCGGGGGTGGGATGAGCCCCGGAGGACGAAGGAGCCAGGCCACCCGGGACTTGGAGGCCGAGATCAGAACCTTGGCCTGGATCCCGTGCAGGCGGATGCCGTATGAGGGTTTGCATCTAGAGGAAAGGACGGTGGAGTTGGGGGCGGTGTGAGAGAGCGACTCGCTGTTCCGGGGGGAAACTGAGGCAGGAGAGAAGACGCTCCCTTGTCGCTGATGTTTATTGAATCCCTGCTGGGTGATCGACCCTTTGCATCCATCAGCTGATGTAACCCTCACGTCAATCCTGTAATGAGGAACCATTTTCTCCTTTTAAAGATGGGGAGGCAGGCCCGGAAGGAGTCCTGTCTTGTGCACTGGGTCGTATGGCTGGGAAGCGGGCCAGGATGGGGCTCGAGGCCCTGGTCCCTTCCGGACAGGCGCTGTCCGCCCCTGACCATGCCCTGCCTTTTGCAGACAACCGCTGCATGGACAGAAGGTTCCTCCCAGCCAAGTCCAAGCAGCTCATCGCTCTGGCCAGCTTCCCAGGTGCTGGCAACACGTGGGCTCGGCACCTCATCGAGCTGGCCACTGGCTTCTATACGGGCAGCTACTATTTTGACGGCTCTCTCTACAACAAAGGTGAGGAGGCAGAGGGGAGCAGAGAGGACCCACCGGGAGGGCATGGGAATACCCTTCCTGAGCACCTACTGTGCGCCACTCCACTCACCCGGGCACGTTCGCCAAGACCTACTGTGCGCTTGGCCCCCCCCCCCCCCCCTTAGAGCCCACTGACATCGCCTGAGCAGCTTCTGTGCCATCAGGCACCTACTGCGCGCATGTGGTACCTTCCCTCTGTTGAGGTCACCACAAACACTCCTTGAGCACCTACTAGGTGCAGGTTTCTCACCACAGACCTTTATTGACCAGCAGTCCTGTGCTGTATACAGAGGTAACAAAACTAGGTTCGTTCTGGGGGGGGCTGTGGAGCACCTGCTGTTGGTCAGGCGTCTTGTCTGCATTTCAGAGCCCACATCCTTACCTCTCCGTCATAGGCAAGAAAGCCCTGGGGGTTCGCACTGGGGAACTGAATGTCTTGGATGAAATACCCATGGGTCGTGAAGCCCCCTCCCAGACATGGCCGGGGGAATATCAGGGGACGTATGTGGGGCAGCCCTTGGCTGTGGGTCTTTATGTCTGTTAACCAGATGAAGACCACTTCCTGGCTGTGTGACTTTGAGCCAGCTTCTGTGCCTCTCTGGTCCTGTGTCATCATGCACAAATCAGAGCTAACAGTATGTACTTGGTGAGGTCATTGTGAAGGTTAGTGAGTTGGTATGTGTAACAGGCTTAGCACAGAGTAAGTGTTCAGTAAACGGAGGCTGTGAATACTATGGTCCAGGCACTGGCCGGACGCAGCTTGGTGTTGACAGAGAGCCATCCTTCAATCCCAGCTCCGGGAGAGCCAGGGGGCGTCTGTCTGAGGGTGAGGGATGACAAGGGACGGGTTGAAGGATGGGCTTAGCAGCAGGTAGGGGGTCGGCCTTAGAATCCCGACTTTCTGTATACGGATCAGGCTTTAGTTTTGGCGTAAGTGGTCATTTATTGAGCACTTAATACGTATGAGGCTCCAAGCTGGGTGTCTCGCTTGCTTATACCAGGATTTGAACCCAGGCCTGGCTTTCAACAGTATCTCTGCTCCTAACCCCTAAGTTGAGCTGCCTTTATGGGAGCTGCTGGGAGGAACCCAGGCACAGAGGGGACTCTCTCCGGTTTGCCCTGGGGAGCGGCAGGGGGGAAGCCGACTCCGAAAGCATCCCGTGGCTGGCTCACATTCTAGCCTTCCTGTGGCTGCAGCAGCAAGCCTATTTATGGAATTCTAGAACGTTACAGATAGGAGGGTCCTTCAGGAGCATTTAGTCCAGGGATGCAAAGTGGTATCACCTCATGCATCCATTCCAGTGAATTTATGTGTTAAGAAGGATTCTGAGGTTCTGTTCTCTTTCAGAAACCAAAGTGCCTTAATCTGGTAGTGATGTCGGTTGACGGTGTAGGAGGGGGAACAGTGTGGCCACCTGCCAGGTATTTACCACCTCTGGTCTAATTCAACCTCCTAACGTTGGACCACGGGAAACAATCTTAAAATGGAGTCAGGGGATTGAATTTTCAGACCGAACTCTTACCTGGTTCAAGACCTTGGGCAACATTTCTTTGCCTCTCTGAGCCTCAATCTCCTCATTTATACTGTAGGGATGTCCACACTGAACTCCTAGCGGTTTTGAAAGAAATATGACAAGACCGTGTGTGAGGCTATGTTGTAAAGTATACATTATTTTTTTTTTAATTTTTTTTTTCAACGTTTATTTATTTTTGGGACAGAGAGAGACAGAGCATGAACGGGGGAGGGGCAGAGAGAGAGGGAGACACAGCATCGGAAACAGGCTCCAGGCTCTGAGCCATCAGCCCAGAGCCTGACGTGGGGCTCGAACTCACAGACCGCGAGATCGTGACCTGGCTGAAGTCGGACGCTTAACTGACTGCGCCACCCAGGCACCCCAGTATACATTATTTTTTAAGCGATGTGTAACTGGGACAGTCAACTATTAGGCAGAGGAAAGGGCTTGGCCTCTGACGACACATGAGAATCACCCGGGGAGCTTTTCAAGTCTTGATGCCCAGGCTGCACCTGAGACCATTTCCATCAGGATCCTAGGAGGGGAACAGGGTGTCAGTTTTTTTAAAACCTCTCCAGGTGATTCGGGCACCAAGTGAGGCCCCTGGCTCCTAGACCGGGAGCCCAGTATTCTCACCTCTGGACCCACGCCATTCAAAAAATACTGTGTATTTTAGGGGCACCTGGGTGGCTCAGTCAGTTAAGCATCCAACTTCGGCTCAGGTCGGTTCAGGAGTTCAAGCCCCACCTCGGTCTGTCTGCTGTCAGCATAGACCACACTTCACATCCTCTGTCCACCCCCCCCCCGCCCCTCCCGTTTGTTCTCTCGTTCTCTCTTTCTCAAAATAAGTAAACTTAAAAAAATACTGTGTATTTTACACTCGAATCTTGGGGGAATATCAAGAGTTGGTAATTAGGGGGGCGAGGTGTGTATTAAAATTTTAAAAAGGAAAAGAGAGAGAGGGAGAACATACACCCTCCCTGGCCATTCCTCAGGCTCACACCGTGTGCACGTTTCCTTAGGTCCCTCCGAGAGGAGCAGCTGAAGCTTTTTGAACAGCTCCCCTTTCGTGAGGGGCTTCAAAATGCTTCCTGTGTCCTGAGCCCTTGCAGGGAACAGTGAGTTGGCCCTGGGAGTTGGGGGCTGGCAGTGGGGGGCAGGTGCATAGAGGACCCCCCCCCATAGCATCAGTCGGTTCTGCTAACCCCACGTCTCTGCCACCACCACAGCATAAGGAACTGCTCAGAGCTGGAGGGTCCTGGGGGGGGGGGAGTGGATTTGCCCCCACTGGGGGGCCAGTCTGCTGCCCCTTTCACACATCAGACCCCAGGTATGCTGAGTTCGCAGGTGGAAAACACACCAGCCATTTGCACGTGGGTTTCCTCTCCCTGGGACCTCGGCCCCACCCCCCTCCTAGCTCTTCTGCCTGGAAACCTCCCCAAGCTGCGGGTCACATCCCCCTTTGCAGCGTCTCCGGCCGACTTCGACGTCTTCCTGCTTTTCTCCCTTGTATCCAGGGCTCTCCTTCCTTGTAGTGGGGCCCTTATTGTTGTAAATGTCATGTCACTGTTACTAATGCTGATCATTATGGGCCCGGCTCTGGGATGCGTGCTTACAGAGTTTGTGATTCAGTCTTGGGTGGGGGTTGTATGTGCAGAAGGTGGACAGGACTCACCCGAAAGGAGAGGAGGGAGTCCCGGGCAGAAGCCACGGGGGTGGGCGGACATGTGAGGAACAGCCGGAAGAGGAGACCGGTGTGATTGGTGAATCAAATAGTCTGGTGGTGCTGGAAAGGGGGAGGGCCGGGGGGGGGGGTGGTGCAGGAAGGGCAGCCAGGACCAGACAGGCAAAGCCCGTGCAAGCCCTCTGAGGACAGTGCACATTATCCTGGGGCCACAGGCTCGTGCAGGGAGTGGGGTGAAGAGGGGTTCTAGGCAGGGGGTCTGTGCTAAGATGCACGTGTGTGAAATACCTCTCTGGCCACAGAGTTTGGATGGGACGTTTCGGCTGCAGAGACAGTGGTGGGGAGAAGGGCACAGTGGAAGGGACATTTAAGAGGCCGTTGATTAGAAGGGATGCGCCCAGAGCGGGTGGTTTCTGTATGATGAGCGGAGCCTCCACGGACTTTTGTTGGTTGGCAACTTTTGGAGTTTCCTCCTTCCTCCCTGCCTCTAACTAGCTGGATAACTGGGGGTCTGTCCCCTGCCCCTTGAACCTTCGATTTCCTCCTCTGGAACAAACTCGTGTTGGGGGGGGGACCCCCAGGGCCCTCCCACTTCTGATGGGCTGCCTGGAATTTTCTCTGTCCTTCACTTTCTCGGCAACCTCGTCTTCCTTCATCCTGGTAACAGTCTGCCCCCGCGAGGGACTGTTGAATAGAAGAGGGATGGAGGGAGAGAATGACTGACTGGTAGATGGATTCTCCCCGCCCAGAATCCACATGTCTATACCCCTTGAGTTCTGCCTTCTCTTCCTCTTACCCAGGGAGGTTGGCCATTTGCAAACCATGATTGTCTCTGTGTCCGTCTCTTGCTTGGTCTTAGTCTCTCTCTGATCTTTGTCTCCTTATTTTGATGTCTGTTTCTCTCTCCCCTTCTTCTCCGCCCCCCGCTTCCATCCCCCTTCCTATCTCAGGGACCCCACAGCCCCAAGTGCAGGCTCCTGCTCTGTGGCCTGTCAGAACCCAGAGGTGGGAGGGGCTGGGTGACTGCCCAGATTGGGCAGGGCCCTTCTCTGCCCCTGGGGGCCCACAGGTGGGGCAGGGCATTGGGGAGGCAGCCTCTTGGCCCTGCTGACCCAGGACCAGTTTTCTGAGAAGTGCCTCAAAATAAACCCCGTTATCCCTGGAGGACTGCCAGCCTCCAGGGTGTCCGTGTCCAGAGCCAGGAGTAGGTCTTTCCTGCCCCAGTAAACTCCGGGGCCTGCAGGAATGTGGGTGGAGTCTCTGCCCTTCTCTGTGCCTGTTTCCTTCACTGCAGAATGTACCCGCAACTCTTAATAGTATTTCACACTGATGCAGTGGAGTTGCTGGGTCCTGTGTCCCACAGGGCGCCCCCTGGTGGTAGAGTTCCACAATTCCGCTCTGGCCCCAGGCTTGCATGCGTGATTGCTCGGTCTTTACCTACAGGTCCCTCCCTGGTGGACAGCTGAGCTAGGTCCTCAGGCACGCGGATCCCATGTGGCTTCTCAGAGGCACCTCCCTAGACGCAGAACCCCTCTCTCTGGGAGGCGCTGTGCTACCTGGAATTTTCTCCAGCTCCCTACTTTTCCAGGGTACCCTGCACCCTAACTGCTCAGGCAACCCGAGACCAAAGCAGGTCTTCTCTGGTGTTTAGTTTTTTGTATCTTGACAAATATTGTGCGAGGTTGACTCCGTCCCGTAGCAAAGAGAAATGTGATCGAGGGTCCCAGCAACCCCCGGGGGCTGAGTGAAACTAGTCTCACCCCTCTGCCACGTTGTAGCTTTTCTTCTCTGAGAACCTGTTTGCGCTCTTGTGCAACCCCTGCGTCTGGGTTTCTGTTGCTGTGCCGGTGGGGACATGGATTTTGGCAGAGAGAGAATGAAATCATAGTTGGGTAGCCCCTCGTCCGCGTCATGAGGGGCTTTACCGATGCCATGTGTGACTGCCCGCCGTGAAATCCTCTGTGTCCCGGGCTCATGCTCGAGCTCCCAGACCCCATTCCTCAGTGGCCCATGACACTGTGCTGCCCGTGGGCCTCAAAGGCTGTGGGTTCATGTTTCCTTGTGGGCAAGGCTGGACTAATTCCTACAGCTTCACTGGGCAAGTCCCAGGACAGAATTTGGCTCAGGACATGACATTCCATTCCTGGCGTTGTTACCTTGTGACCCCGGGGGGGGGGGGGCTGTGTGCCAGACCTTTCTGAAGCCTGATCTCCAGGAACAGAAGTAGGTCCCATGCCGGCCTCATCTTAATCCACCTTAAAAGCCAAAGGCAGAGCCTCAAACCTTCGTGCGTGGGCCAGGAGAGAAAAAAATGAACTCTGAGGTTTGAGGATGCAGAGTGGCTCCTCAGTCCGTGACTTCGCCCCTAGACTTGTTCTCTTTGAGCTGCTGTTTATTGAAACACGTACTGTGTGCCTCAGTGGTTTCTCACAGCAGCCCTGTGAAAGGGAAGGTGCATGGTGCCATTTTATGGATGAGGACACGGAGGCCAAAGAAATAACATTGAGTTGGAAACGCAGCCGGTATCCTGAAGGTGCCGGTACGATACCATTTCTACGCGGCTTGCAAGATGCCATCTAAGCGACTTGGAGAACTCGGTCTCTGGAGCCTGGATGAGTTGGGTTTGAATTTTGACCCTGCCTCTCGCTGCCTGTATAGTCAAAGCACGTTCGTTGATCTCTCTCTCTGCCTGTTTCCTCATCTATAAAATCTCTCCCATTTCCCCAGCTTTTTATCCCCCCAAGTTTAAGAGAAAGCAGGGGAGGGGTAGCAAGAGGGAGAGAGACTCTCGAGCAGGCTCCGTACCTTCAGGCACCCATCTCTGTCGGACTCGCAGACTTCGAGATCGTGACCCGAGCTGAAATCAAGAGTCAGAGGCTTAATCAGCTGAGCCACCCAGGCACCCCATCCCCATTTTTTGAAATGAAAATCTGATCATGTCCCTTTCTCTTTTGCTTAAATCCTTTTAAGGGCTGCCTAATGTTTGTGGTCTCGTGCTGAGCTCTTGGTCACAACCCCTACCGTCCTATCTGGCTTTACACTCCCCTCTTTCTGCTCTCAGCAGTCACTCATGTGGCACCTTCCTTCCCACCCACCCCCGGACCTTTGCATCTGTTGTTCCCACCACCTTTCCCTTCCTCCCTCGGGCTAGTAGATTCCTCCTTGGCTTTCACATGTCAGCCTAAGCACCTCTTCCTCCAGGAAACTTTGCCGGATGCCGCCTGACTAGGTCCGCGATCTTGGCTAGGCGGGCTGGGCTGCGCAGCTCCAGACCGTGGGTTATATCCGTGTCTGTTCCCTGAGTCTCTCACCATCTGGGACCAACAGCCTGCTAGTGCACGTCCCTCTCGCAGTGATGGAGGAGCATACGAGAGTAAACAAGCATGTGGGGCACCTGGGGGCTTTGACGGAGACCCGCTTCTGTCCTCATCCCAGCGGCCAAAGCGACTCACCTGCCATGCCTGGGGATGGGGAGTCCACCCAAAGAGGGCTCCCCCAGTGTATCACCGTCAGGTGCCTCTTGTGCCTCAGCGAGCATCCCATGCCCCTTCGGCAGCGCTGTGGTTCCTTACGTTTATTTCGGTCACGGTTTACAGAATCTGGCTCCCAACGACAGCGAGACGCATGGGTCTTTTTGCAGAGTCTATCCCCACCTCCCAGCACAATGCCTGGCACGTAGTAGGTGCTCAGTAAATACAGGAGGAAAGGAATGGGAGCGTGAATGAACGTGGGAGGATAACCGAGGCGGCCTGGATGGGCAGGGTGTGGCGGGACTCCTCGCCTCCCCTGCTCACGGCCCTGTACCCCCTTCCCCTGCCCGTGGGAAGGGTTCAAAGGTGAGCGGGACCACTGGCGCAGCGGCAGGACCATCTGCATCAAGACGCACGAGAGCGGCCAGAAGGAGATCGAGGCCTTCGATGCCGCCATCCTGCTCATCCGTAACCCCTACAAGGCGCTCATGGCAGAGTTCAATCGCAAGTACGGCGGCCACATCGGCTTCGCTGCACATGCCCACTGGAAGGGCAAAGGTACGGGGGGGAGGGCGGGTGCGGCAGGTTGGGGTGAGCGGCCGGTGCTATCTGCCGCGAGGGATCCAGGCAGGCCCCCCGCGTTTCCCCC